TGTTCTGTTTTGTTTTTCCCTGATGCTTTAGATCAGCAGCTCTCAACCTGTGGGTATCAACCCCTTTGGGGGTCAAATGACCCTTTCACAGGGGTCACCTAAGATGATTGGAAAACATAGATATTTACATTACAATTCATAACAGTAGCAAGATTACAGTTTTGAAGTAGCAAGGAAAATAATTTTATGGCTGGGAGTCACCACAGCAAAAGGAACTGTATTAAAGGGTCGCGGCTTTAGGAAGGTTGAGAACCACGACTTTCTATTCTAAAGTTTAGAAGACTTTGGTCTTGGATCCAACAGTGGGGCTGTTTAAACCTTGAGAGGGGGGTTGGAGTTTCAAGCTCTTCCTGTGGGTTTCTCCTTCGTTCTTGCCATTTGAGGGCCCTGCAGGTGTTCATACCCCAAAATAGAATCACAAAGTCACATCTGAAGCTTGCTGGTCATTACAGAGATTATGCTGGCAGTTCATAAAGGGATTATGCAAGCGCATTTAATGACTGCCTGGAAGGCTGTCTCCACAGACTCACCAACCCCATAGGCCCTGTAAAAATAAATAATAGGCAAAATTATACAACAGCACAGTGAAGGCAGCCAAAACCAGAGACGAGGTTGAGGTCTCCGATTTCATTTATCACTTACAATGGCCTAAATGAAATTATCAGGCTAAATTATGGCACGTCTGTTGGACTATGTTTCAGTGGGTCAGACTGATCTGAAAGAGTGGGTTTGTTTTTTAATTGAATGATGATCCTAGTGACCACATGTCCCTAACACAAACTGGGATTTTTAGCTCTGTTAAGTACAGTGCAAATAATAGGGCCAGCTATTTGAACTCAAGGAAACTGGAATTTCTTTGGTGGGGGAGGGTTCTTTTTGTACTCTTTCGTATCGATTTTCTTACTATTGCTTAAGACATCTCCCAAAAGCACGTGTAGAATAAAGAGAGAGAGGAACACAGAAAAGGAAAAGTGGAGAGAGAAGTAAAAGCTTGTTTACCCCCTAGACATAGTCCATGCACCTGTTTAGGCTTGTGTCACTTAGCAGCTGAGAGTCTTGCTCTTTCTAGCTATGATGCTCGCACGTACGTGTGCATGTGCGTGTGCGTGTGTGTGTCTGTGTTTCTGTCCTGTGGCTTTGTTACTTTTCTATTGCTGTGAAGAGACACCATATAACTAAGGAAACTCTAGACTCTATAACTGTAGAAGAAAATGTTTATTGGAGCCTACGGTTCCGGAGGGTTAGAGTCTATGGTCATCATAGCACAGAGAAGGGCAGCAGTCAGACATGGCACTGTAGCAGTACCTTGGAACTTATCTATAAGCACGAGGTAGAGAGAAGCTAATTGGGAATGGGTTGGGCTTTTTAAACCTGAAAGCCTGCCCCCGCTCCCCCTCCCCTGTAATACACCTCCTCCAACAAAGCCACACCTCCTAATCCTTCCCCAAGAGTTCCACCAACTGCTTATCAAGCTTTCAAATATCTGAGCCTATGGAAGCCATTCTCATTCAAACACCCACACCTGGCTGTCTCCCCTCCCGCTCTTTAACTGTTGTGTTTTTCCTAATCTGTCAGGTGTCTTAAAGGTGATGTTTTGTTGAGGTCTTGCCTCTGTGAATGCATTTGAGTGAACTAAGATTACTCTGATCTCTTCATTCCCTTCTCTCCGGTCCATGCCTGCCACCCCCTCCTCCTCCCCACAAGTCTCTTCACCATATTCATGCCTTTTTGTTTTCTTTTGTAACTCACTGACTTTAACTCCAGTTTTGGAACTGTCTGATGGAGTCTGGTGGGCTCACTGCTTGGCACAAAACTGAAGTCAGTGATTGCCTTTCTCCCAGAATCTATCAGTAGTCAATAATTCAACAGGGTGGCTAGTGAATATTTTGCCAAAGAAATAATTACAAAACAGAAATTCTGAAATTTACAATATTATCAAACACCAATCTCTGAGAAGAAATCATATTATCTATTATACAAAGTCTTGAATATTTTTAGCTCATAAATGAGATATCTGTTAACAGTATTCTACAGAAGGAATTTTGTATTGGTATCTCAAGCCACACTGTACATGCCTAGCATGCTATTCACAGACATAACAACTGGCCACCAACCAGGCCCCTGGAAGGAATGGATGGAACACTCTGAGTGCATTGAAGGGAATTTAATGCAGAGACCAGGTGCACAGGAGAGCAAAATCACAAGCAAGGGTAGTGGGGAATCACCTAGAGTCTAGTCCTGGCAGGAAGCTGTTCCTATGCCAAGGCCCAAGCATAAAAGAAAGAATGGGCAATTCTGGAACCTGGAGAAACTTTAGCAGCAACAAGAGTGTCATCTGACAGCCTTTATGGTTCCAGGTGGACAGCCACAACCCAAGCACAGCAGTATAGGGGAGAATCCAGGAAAATGAACATCCTGTCTTCTTTCTCTCTGACTACCAAACATCAAAATCAATTCGATGCCAAAGATGAAGGGAGCCCAGTGAATACAACAGTGATCCTGTGAAAACAGAAAGTAGTACTCCCCTGACCCCAGCATTTTCGGCTCATCAAGTCTCTCTATTCTTTTCTCATCCTCCTCCTTCTCCAACCCCTCCTCTTCCTCCTCCAGGCCTTCTCTTACCTCTCTTCCTCTTGTCTCTTCCTGTATATTTACAACCTCAAACCAAACACATACCAACCAAGGGGGAAACCATGACATCCCCCTTCATCACTGCATTATTTCAAGGGAACTTAATTTAGTCAGAGTCTAACCTGGAAGGTAAATGGTGGCTTTAAGCATGGCTCTTTTCGGTGTACAGGGGGACTGAAAAATGCAGGAGCAACAGTTTCATGCAGGGTACCAATTACTATGTTGATCACTCAACCATCTCCTCCCACCAGGGATCCCAAGATCCTCACAGTTGTCAGCACCCAGTTCTTCATTTCCTTTGGGCCCAAGTCTTGTGTTTGTCTTTTTTAGTTCATTATGTTTCCCAGGATCACGGCTCTTGGTGTATAATCTCTAAGATGCACGCACACTAGTGAATTTCTGAATCCTAAAGTCTGTCATGTCTATTTTCAGCAGTGATTTTCTCTTAGAGGTCTGGATCAATAAGTCCAGCCAGTAGAGATGCACTTACCCCCCAACTCCCACCTTGTCTCTAGTGGCTCAGGGACATGATGAGCCTAAAATGCCCGGCATGGAGGGAGTAGCAATTTCTAGTTTTATGGGATCACCGCTGTGTTCACTGGGGTGGATTTCTTTTTCTCTTGGATATGCCCTTTTCTGACATGCTTTCTGGGTCAAGAAACAATTCCATTAGAAGGTGATTTGGTATGGGCAAGGTTCTGTATATCTAGATCAACCCTTGTTTCCCTGACCCAAGGCAGCAGTTAAGAACCACCGCCTTAAGACACAGCATCTAATAAGACGTAGCTTCTGAATCCATATGGGGTAGTATAGCTGAACACAGAGCTCAATAAAATGTTGGCAATAATAAAAAGTTTCTAGGTGTTCAATGACCAAAACATCAATTCAAAATCAAGTGTGTAATGAATTTGAGGTGTTTCTAGCCTTGATTACCCATATTGCATCATGGGACTTGACTGCAGACTTGCTTCTGAACACATAAATCCTGCACTTTACCGTGTGCATATGCCATCATACCACATATTGAATACTGCACAAAACACCCTAGCTCAGATTCTAGACACTTGTATGTTAGCAATTACAATTATTTTACAGCAGATACAGAATTTTCTGCTCATCTAGAGGCACAGTGCTTGCATTACAAAAAGCAACAGGTTTTTAATATTTCCTACTATCATCCCTCAGCATATAAGTATGAAATTAGTATATCTTTGGATTGAGATTTGTTGAAATGTTTGATTTTTTAAAAAAATTCCTGTCTGAGTTGCTGACTTGAGTGTCACAGACCGCCATTCAATGAACTTTGGCTTGAGATTAGGGCAGATTTTCCAACAATTTCTGAAATGGCACTAAGCATAATTCTGCCATCTTGCTCTGCATATTTATGCGAAGCTGTGCTCTCAGCACTGACGATTTTAAAAGGGAAATATCAGTGGACTCTGGAAAATGCTGATGATGGTCCCTGTCATGCAGTTTCAAACATTCAGCCAAGATTTAATTTTTCATGTGAAAATAAACAAGCACACCCTTCTCATTAGTATGTAAATTTGCTTTCACCTTTAATAAATGACAAAATTATATGTACTCCAAAGAATTGTTTTGAAATAAATTTCTCTCTGATTATCAGTAAATATTTGATTTGTATATCTATTTTACAGACCTATAGACCAAGCATCATCAAAATTGTTGGATTAAAAAGCTCCTTTGGCCAAGAGAATAGGATCTCTGGGTAACATTCCTGGTAGGCGGCAAGGTCAACCACTGTGCCAAGAGACAACCCCTGGAAAGGTTATCTCACCTTAAGCCATGCTGAAAAAAATAGGTGGAATAATTATTCCTATAATGAAAAATTGTACTGCCTCTTCTCAGAATCCCTGTCCTCACCCCCAGCGCATTTCCTTATACCGTAGACACGAAGCTTTGTAATCCTGCCTGCTTCCTGAATTAATCAGAAAAGCATAACTTTTCCTGTTTCCTTTTATATCTGCTCTGGGTATGCATTCCCCCAACTCTGGGCTTTCCCAACATGTTGGGGTTCCTTACTCCTTCTCTAAAGCTTCCCTCCCTGCCATGTGCTGTGTGTCTACCATGTGTCTGACCAGCTCAGATGCGATGGCATTTTTCCTTCTCTCCTCCATCCTCAACCTCTGGGCAGCAGCTGAGATGTACAGATTGCCTGTTTGGGGGTTTGGGTTTCCAGAGCTAGTAAAATTGTCCTTAAGCATCGGGGGAAAAAAAATTCTTGGGTGAAAAGGGTCACGAATGTAAAGTGGTTAAGAAGGCCTGCTGTTGGGTAACCAGGTGGCCTTTCAGGGTTGCCATTAGTGAAGAGAATTGTGGCTGAGGCCCTGCAGTGTTCTGTTGTCACTGCTGCCTCCAGCTGGTAAGGCCGAAAGACCAAGTTCTCCAGCAGGGTGAGTTCATGGCTCCCATTTCCTCAACCCAAAATGAGCTCCTTGGGCCGAGACAGTGGGTATGAGTTGGTTCTCACCATTGTTACAGAATACACAACAAAAAGCATCTTCAAGTAGAGACTTTATTTTGGCCCAGGGTTTGAATTACAGTCCATGATGGCAAGAAGCAGAGGGAGGCTGCAGGATGTTACAATGACTCTGCAAGTCTTAGCAGAGTAGGAAAAAAAATGAAGCAGGAAACAGGGGCAGGGTACCACCCTCAGGACCATCTCTAGCCATCAAATTGGGCCTGCTAGCCACCATGTCTCAAATATTCCACAACCTCCCTAAACAGTGCCACCAGCTGGGGACCAAGAGATCAGAGCATGAGTCTGAGGACTTTTCACATTCAAACTGTGAGATCAAAACTCCTCCATTTTTAAAATAAGGCTTCCAATTTGTAAGAATCTTTATTCTAGGTTTAGATTTTGAGTTTCCACAGTTGATCCAAGTTCCAGGAACCTGAAAGTATGAAGTACAGAATCACAAGTTAACCATGTGATGGTGACTGTGTGACCATGGAATGTCCCAACCCCGGTCTTCCATGGCGATTGTTTAACCACAGAATGTTCCTACCCTCAGGCAGCCAATGAGAAATGGTGACAAACAACCCCCCCCAGCAATAAGATTAATAAAAGGTTTCCAGTAAGTTCCTAAAAATGAGCCAATCAGAAATGTACATGTATAGAAATCCCCTGCTATTGTAATCTTGTGGTTTTTCCTTTAAAAGCTATGCTCAGTTCAGGCTGGGCACCTCCTCCAGCCTCCATTGCATTGGATGTGCTTGACAAGGTCCCTACCTAGGCTTGAATTGCTCCCTAATAAAGCCTGGCTTTTGCATTCTGGTATGCTTGTCTTCAGTGGTCTCTCTGGGAGTTGCAATCTGGGCACAACAAAACCATAACATAGCACAGTTTTTGTTGGGATACCGTGTTGATAAAAAGACATTATAGATTTAGAAGAAGCTTTATAGACTGAGAAAGTGACCCCGTATCCAACTACATATATATTCTTCTGAGAAGAAAGTTTTATCTGGATTGGGTAGATACCCTTGCAAGCACAAGAGCCCAGGTTTAGTCTCCAGAACCCACATTAAAAAGCCAATGAAATAGAAAGCACTTTTAATCTCAGCACTCAGGAATGGAGGCAATCAGCAGTCTAGCCAAGTCAATGAGTCTAAGGTCCTGTCTCCAAAAAATGAGGTGGATAGCTCCTGATGAACAACACCCAAGGTTGACCTCTGACTTCTACATCTACATATGCATGTATACCTGCACACACATACAAGAGAACACTCACGTCCCACTTCCTCTTAACCAATTAGAAAATATATTTCCTTCTGTGATGCATAAACTTCATGTTATCCATGTGACTTACAAGGTAGCTGGCACATGAGGGAATGATGTTGCATCTACTTTAGTATTGACTTCAGGGGTTGGTAGCTTGGTCTTCAGCTTTAGTAGTGGCTGATCATATGTAGAAAGATGTCCAGGCTACTGAGCTCATGCATAGGTCTATTCTTGTTATGATGGCTATTTAATACACAGGACTATGGAGCAAGGACCCAGGTAGATGGGAAAAGGGGGCATCTCTACCCATATGTAGTCATCCATTCATTGATTATATCTTCAGGAAAGCTCTTGAGAGATATGGTATACCTCATAATAAAATATTTACTGTTTCATTAAAGTCATGTCCTGTCCCTTCCCAGAATATAATTAGGGCCAGCTGAATAGTATTAGATTCACCCCCTAAGCCACTGTCCTCATTCATTCACAGTTTACCATAATAATTTCTCAATTTATTTTTTTTTTTTTTACTGTGGATGCCACTTGATGAACAAATTAAATTAATCAGTCACAAGACTGTTAATACCTTTCCAGGGTGCTAAAGTCGATTTATTAAATGCCAAATCCCAAGACAGTGCATGCCCATAAATAAATTCAGCCTACATTTAATATTACTGCCCTTCATTCATATGCTCCTGATGTTGACAGGGGGATTTGGAGTTACTGAGTTCTCCACCTCAAGTATGCTTCACTTAATTCCTCATTTCAAGTGTCAGGATTCCACTTCTAATTATCCAAGACTTTACTTCACTGTTAGAGACCTACAAGCTGCATATTTAACTCCATAGGATAGACACAGGAAAACATTAGACTGAAAGCTGCTTGTTAAGTTGTAATCACCAGTATTTTAAATTAATAGCTCAGTACTCTAAACGTGTTTTCCTTTTATGTACAGTCCTTGGGGGCAGTACCCATAATTTTGGTGAGCACTAATCTTGCTTTATAACCAAGTACCAGTCTTGACCTCAACCCACCCTTCCTCTGTCACCACCAGCCTGTTGACTCAAGTAGTCCTGGTGTTGTGACGACAGACCACAGATTTCCAAGGTCAGTTCTCTGATCTGATGAAATGTTCTTAAGACCTCCTGCTGTCTTCCTGCCAGGAGGGTGAGCTTAGGGAATTCCTCTCCTGTTCATCATTCTAACAGTCAGGGGCTCCTACAGGAGACAGTTGTCACAATCAGAGTCAATTGAAGTGAGTTTAATGATGTGCCATTGAATCACCAAGGGACTGCTGACGGCTAAAAACTGTTACCTCTGTCAAGCATGAAGGACTGTGGGAGGAATCTGTCTCTGGAATGGAGACAGACACTGTAGCAGAGAAAAGGAAGAGTGACAGAAGTTTCAGATGAAAGAATCGACCACTGATAAATCCATCATCTGGCAGGGAAGGAGCAGAAGGAACAGAGGTACCTTGGTTTTATCCTACAGGTCATGTTCCTAGGTTTTGTCTATTTCTCCTTTGCCTACTTCTCCTCTCCTCTTCCTTTGTGTGTGTGTGTGTGTGTGTTGTACACATGTGTGTTCATGTTTTTGTAGAAGCCAGAGGTCAATGCTGGGTGTCTTTCTCAATCACTCTCCACATTATTATTATTATTATTATTATTATTATTATTATTATTATTATTAGAGGGTCTACTGTTTCACTGGCATTTTGGTTAGTCTTGCTATTCAGCAAGGCCACAGGATACTCACTTCTCTATCCTACCCAGAAATTAAAGATGTGCCATGGTCCACAGGAATTATGAGAGTGCTGGAGGTCTGAACTGAGGTCCTTAGGCTTGTGTAGCAAGCACCTTGTTCACCAAGCCATCTCTGCAGCCCTTCTGGGTCTCTCAGTCTTACCTACCAGCTAGCTGGCAGCAGATAAACCAAAAAGTCAGGGGATTTCAGTCTGGATATTTCAGCCTTTCAAGTCACATCATAGAGAAGATTGGAAAGAAAGAAATGAGACTTAACCAGAAAGCAGGACACAGTGCAGAAGGAGGATAATGTGACCATGTTGTGTGTTTTGAGAGTACTATAAAACAACTTACACAACCCTGGGCAGTGACATCGTATTCATGTCTTCACCTTTCTCAAAGCTCAGAGGGCCTTGGGACCAGTCAGCTATCTGTCATCTCCATCTTTTAATGTTTCTACAGTATCTTTGAGTTTTCATTCTTAGACATTTCAGGTATGCTGAGGTTCAGAAACAGAGAGGCTTGACATCTTGGCTAAAAATATGGTGGATCTAATGGACTTCATTCCATTGGAATGGAACTTTTAGGTCCTTGACTGCTTAACTGAAAGAAAACAAAGAAAACAAGACACATGGGTTTTACTGAAACATTCAAGCAGAGCAGGAAGTATTCATGCCTGGGATCTGGCTTTGAATCCTGGCTTGGGTGAGCTGCTCTATGCTAAAATCTGGGTTTTAGCTGCCCCTAAAGGTCTGTGTGGCAACAGCTTTGTTTCCAGTGTGGCCTTGTTACAAGGTAGTGAGAAGTGTAAGAAGTGGGACCTGGTGTGTGTGGAGGGTCTGGTCCATTGAATGTATGCTCTTGAAGGGGCTATTGGACCCTATCCTCTGCCTTGACTCAGTTATATGTACCTACCATCAGCCCAAAGCAATGAGATTAAGAACAAAAACAAAAAATAAAAACAAAAACCAGGACTGAAACAGCTAAAACAGTGACTCAAAATAAACCTTTTCACTTTGTAAGCTGCTTATCTCAACTGTTTGTCACAGTGACAGAAAGCTGACTTACACACTGTAGACTGGAGAAATTACTTAAAGCCTAAGTCACAAGCTGGTAAGAAGAGTCCAGTCCTCTCAATATTAGAGAATGGGAATTAAAGTTGACACATTACAAAGAAGCATCTACTCAGCAGGGCTATAGGGTAAGACCTGGCCATAGTATATCTTTTTCTCTAGCATTTTATCTAAGTTCTATTCACAGTTTGGAGTTGCCTCAAAAACTTTTGGGAGCTTGTAGAGGTGTGTTATTTCTGGAAACCAGATGAAGTATAATATAAGCAATACATCTTTCCAATTTCTGTGCACTGTCTTCCCGAGCAGAATGAGAAGGAAAGAATGACAGAAGAACACCCTGCCCCTTATAAGAAGATAGTCAGGGCAAGGGAACACACTGCCTTATTATTTCCCATGCCTACTGCATGATTGGCAACCAGAGAGTCCGAATTAATAATAAAGAAATAACTCTGAGGTGGGTGAGCTTGAGAATGCATTATGAAGGAGAGATGGTCAATTTTTCATGCAGACAGACATCTAATGCTCCCTCAGCAGCAGTTACATTTAAAGCTGGTGCAAAGTGAAAGAGAACATAAAATGTTGATGTCAGATTACAAAGGGCGACAGTGGTGGGTCTAATTCTTTCTCTTTTCTTTTTATTGAGACAACATTCATAGGTGGTGAGAGGAAGAAATAGAAGAGAAGAAGGAAGGGAAGAGGGAGGACAAAGAGCTCTATTTATGTTGCCATTTGTCTCATTGTGGGTGTGGCAGTTTTAGACAGTCTAGGATTTCCTCCAAATCTCCCAGGACCTTTTGGATTTATAAACCCAAATGCGGATATCCATTCCTATGACATTCTGTGTTAGCTGCGACACAACTCCACCAGAGCAGAAATACATTTTCTCTCTGCTCAATAGAAAGTTAAATAACTTTATCCTACTTACCCATCTAGCACAAGACCTATTATTACGTATTTCAAAGTGCGTTATAACTAGGGTTTAAAATCACATTCTCTTTTGCTGGTCACTGTGAACTAGGTTGAAAGTTCTAAGTGTAACAAGAAAAGAGCAAGAGTGCTGTTCTCAGGGTTCCAATGAGTAACTCATCTCAGCATACCCCCTCTGCACCTAACATGTCTTCCACAGCACCACAGGAAGGGAATATATGATTTTAATCTATTTAATTTGATAAAGACAAAGTGGAATGTCACCTCCTATGATGAATATCTACCACCAGTTCTCTAATATCTGACGAAAAATGCAACAAGCTTCAGGAGTTGGTGTGTGTAGATTGCTAAATAATGTTCAATAAATGTCATTTCTCATGAAATAGTCTCATTTGAACATTTATTCTGATTAGTATAGATTCAACCTACTTTATAGTCCCTAGGAGTAGTTGATTTTGGAATATAGCATGATCTGTTGTAGATTACGGCTCTTTTTTGGTGTAAAACTTTCATCATTGATAGCAATTATAAGCCAAATTAAGTATGTTAATTGAGAAATGAGCGAATATCTCAGGGAACATACACTGACTCTTATTTTTCCTGATGCAATGTAGACTTTATTTGATCTGTTAACTGGAGACATAGAATAGGCAATTGTTTGTCTAAAGCCAGAGTATTCTCTTGCATAGATTAAAATCGGGATTCCATGTAGAATGGAATTGGCTGGGGAAAATATCTTCTATTAGTTCTCTCAAGCCATTTACTTTTTTATCTCCTCTTTGTGATGTTTAAGACATTTGATTCCATATTGATTTTTTTTTTTTAGTCATTTCCAAGGTTGAAATCTTGACTCCTTGGGCATTTGGAGATATTCTTGTTTGCCTGTCTGCTGTGTTGGGTACCTATGTTTTGGTGAGTTTTGAAATTCACAGTTTGGGGCACAGTTCAGTAGTAGCGTTCTTGCTTAGCATGTGAAAGGCTCTGGTTCCAACCCAACCACCATTAAAAAAATAGTCCATGGAAACTGATGACTGTTCTGCAAAAGCTGGTAGAACAAGGTTTGGCTGGAAATTTCTTCTACTGATTGTTTTATCTATCTCAATGTTTTAGAAATCTTTTTTTTTATTTGAATTCTGTGGTGATAATTTGTTTGTGATCTAACAAATAAAGCTTGCCTGAAGATGGGAGTGCAGATATAAGCCACTAGCTAACCATAGAGCCCAGGCGGTGGTGGCGCACACTTTTAATCCCAGCACTCAGGAGGCAAAGGCAGACGGATCTCTGTGAGTTCAAGGTCACCATGGGCTATAGAGGATTGATCCAGTCTAAAAGAGAAATAAAGCCAGGCAGTGGTGGCACACACCTTTAATCCCAACACTTGGGATCTCATGTAACTAATTATTGCACTAGGGAGGTAGAGACAGGAAGTGATATGGCTGGGTAGAGAGAGGATATAAGGCAGGAGGAGACAGGAACTCAGCCCCCTTTCAGTCTGAGGATTCTTAGAGGTATGGAGTCTTTCTAGTGGCTAGCTGTTCTGCTTCTCTGATCTTTCAGCTTTTACCCTGATATCTGACTCAGGGTTTTTATTATAAGACCAATTAGAATACACGCTACAGAATTCCCATCTCCCATATGGATCTTATATTTATTTATTTTGTCCATTTTCCTCTCTTTTCTACTTCTTTCCTTTTGTTATCATTGTCTTCCTCTTTCTATGGGTCATCTTTTCAGTTTATCTTTCAACCTTTCTTTTGAATTTTTCATTATTGTTATTGTATCATAATTTCCAGAAGTCTTTTGTTTCCTAGGAACACTCTCTGTTGAGTCTTCTTGTTCTTGTTTTATCAATAAAATATTTCCTCAAATCTCACTAAAGCTACCAATATTAAAAAGGAAAAAAAAAAAAGACTGCTCTAAGTGCTATGTTTCTGGCACCCTGGGTGTGCTTTTGTCTCAGTCACAGCAGAAGATCCATCTCAGTGCCTGGTGGTGTCTCCTGTTTCTTGTATTTCTAAGAAATTTACTTCAAAAGCCTTGAGAAGTTCAGGAATGAGAAGAGCACAGGCATGTCCCTAGTTGTGTTCTATGCATGGTGAAGCAACACAGCTGATCTGCAAGGGCCTCCAGACTGCCCATATCATGGCCTGATGTGTTTCTCAGTAAGGCTGTGACTCCTAAGGCTGACTACCTCAGTGATTCTCAACCTGTGGGTTGTAACCCGTTTGGGGACGTCACATATCAGATACCCTGCATATCGATATTTACATCACAATTCATAACAGTAGCAAAATTACGGTTATGAAGTAGCAACAAAATCATTTTATGGTTGTGGGTCACCACAACACGAGGAACTGTATTAAAGGGTTGCAGCAATTAGGAAGGCTGAGAGCCACTGGACTATCTGAACTTAGTTGGTTCATGGTTTCTTTCTCAGTCTTCAGTGTGAAGATTTTCCCATTCTCTCTCTGTGTCTGTCTGTCTCTTCTTGCTGCCCCTCTTTCTTCTCTCTTTCAATAAAATCCCTGTGCCATGCAATCGTGGTGGCATGATTCGGCAGCTAGGAGAGGCAGGCTGACAAGGTTATGAAGGAAATGTGGCTTCCTTCCAAATCTCATGTTGCTGCTTCCTAACTTCTAGGTCTCATTGATGTGATCCTTGTCTTAGCTTCATGTGCTTCTCCAGTACAAACAAGTTTCCCCTCCAGTGGCTCAAAACAAGAACAAT